GGAATGTACCACGTCCATGGTCGACTTTGGAAATAATCATGCATACAATGGACTTTGGACCAAGTGCGTTTCTCTAAGTATTCCTACAAATATAACCAAGTTACGAAAACGAGGTCAAATAACTTCTACACAATGAAACGAGATTGCGACCACAGCCATAACTTCTTGGTCTTCATAACCTTGTTTATAAACACTGCTTAAATGTTTTTAAAAAATATAGTAGCACTAGAGTATATTATGTAAGCTTGACTTTATTATCTCAGAAATTTTACCGATTAATAAATCGATCGATTTAGTAATTTTTTGAATTAAACAGCTCATGATTAAACCCAAATCAGTTAAGGCTACCTTAATAGTTCGGATATATAAATAAAGTAGCACTTAAAAATATAAATTGATTTAAAGTCAATTTTTAAAAATATCGTTAACATCTAGTTCCAAAAGAAAGATTGTGTGATGATTAAAGCAATTAAACGAAAAATCCAATAGATTAAACAGATTAAGATATAAATTAAGCTTGATATGGCAATTATATAAATATTAAATGAAAGAATTAGTGTCAGTAACATTTAAGAAAATGCTTAGATAGTATAATTGAGAGATATACCTGCTTTTCCAACGCTATACGCTGCGATTCAATGAGTTGAACTGCACTACGTTCGATCCCCAGATCAGCTTGTGCTTGTTCTAACTGCTGGATAGACCGCTTATAACGGTCCTCAGCCGATTCGAGCGCTGTGTGCATTTCCTCTAGCTCATCTTCCATTCTAAGGATTTGTGCCTCGGAGCGTTTCTTATCCTCAATATTTGTATTCCTAATAATGTAAAAATATAATTCTCGCAGTTGAGAGAGAAAGTTAAAGGTGTATAGCGGAAAGATGACAAATTAAATAAAAAATATTATAAGAATAAGGAAAAAGATTTAAGCGCAAATGAGAAAATAAGTCAACTGCAGATATCTCTTAAGATATATTTAAAATATGGACAAAGTATACGAAAATAATGAGTTTTAAAAATAATAATAAATGCAATTTAAAGATACTATTACAAAACATATTATTAATAAGTAGTATGTTCAAAATAAAATAAAATAAACGCGTGCAAATTATTTCAAAGGGGGAATTTGTCAAATTATCAGGCTTGCAAAGTAAAAAAATCGTTTTAAGTAGGTTTTTGCGATTACCAGTAAATCAGATATATAAGATGCACTCATACTATTTCGTTCCACTCAACTTTTTCTACAATGATATGGATAAACCTTACGCTTTCCTTGAATACCCAAGAGGTGTACTCATTATGTGTGAAATTCAATGAACTTCGTAAGTATATGTGATCTACTTGTAGTCTCAAAAACATTCTTATAAAGAAAAAATAAATATTGGATAAGCCTCTTTATTATTATCAGCACTAATGCTAAAACTCTAAAAAAATTCATTATAAACAATTGACGGATTAAGCAATAACATGAAGCGCATAGCAAGCCCCTACTTAAAATGTAGACAAATAAAAACTGTTTGCCTCAAATGTCTCCCTAAAAAAATATGACTAAAGTTCAAGATGGACAGAATTACTTTGCATTCAAAAGAGTAGCTACTTCTTCAAGAGCCTCGTCCCGTTCGGTACGCGCTGTGCGTGCAGCCCTTTCGAGTGAAGCTACCTCCTCAAGTAGCCGTGTCTTTTCAGCATCAG